ATTTAAAAGGAAATTATCATGTACAATTTGTTAAGAGTATAAATTTTATGTTAGGTGTTCTTGCCACAATGTATTTTTTAAAAAAGTACTCAAGAGTATTTTTAAAAACATAAAGAATAGTTATAAAGAAATCAGCTTTGAAGAGTTTAGGCCACGTATGCACCAACTATGGTATGTATTTAAAACTCAACATGTTTATTATAATACATACAATATAAATGATATTTACAGCTTTTTAAGAGCACTCCTTGGTAAAGTCCCAGTCTTGAGTTCAGTAGAATTAGCATGACAAGTTCAAAACTATCTAATCAAGCTTGTGCACAGTAATTGCAGTGACAAATTGTAGCATGAAGTCTGCTTATAGTCAGTGATTCTCGGGCAGTGGTAATAGCTAACAACATGGCTAATATTTTTTGAATGATTAATATATGTCAGGAAATTGTAATCATTTTAAATATATCAAAAACCATGGTACCAATGAGATTACTTAAGATGTGTGTAATGACAGGAAGAAAAAGTGGGCCAAAGACTCAGCCCTGGGTCACACCAACATTAGGGGTCAGGACCAAAATCCAGCCAAGTGAGATGAATGAAAATGAGGACAGGGAGGTTTAAATACATCTATAATTTATGACTGTAGCCAAAGGCTTTCTTCTGCTCAACATATATTTTAAATGCAATATATTCAAAACATAATTCTTGATTTTCTCTATGTAATTTTATTTTCTTACAGGATTTCCTACAGGATCCCAGTTTCAGTAAATGACATCTCACTTTTCTACTTTCATGGGCCATAAGAATATTGAAATTATCCTTGGCTCTTCTCTTTCATTCACACCCCGACATCCAGGCCATATACACTTTTATTGGTTTGACCTCAAAATACATTCAAAATACGACTATTTGCCTAGATTACTACAATTGGTGCCTAACATGATTCCCACTTTCCTCTAAAATAATGTATTTTTAACTCTATAAGCAGAGTGTTTTACTTAAAATGTAAGCCTGATAATGCTACTACCCCACTTAAATCTCTTCAGTGGCTTTGCACCTTATTTGGAGTAAAATCAAAGTTGTTACTGTGACCTGTAAATCACTCCATGATTTTCCCTTTGTGTTCTTTACCTCTTTTCCTACCACACCCACCTCTGTTGCTCTGTGCTTCACCGCCTTCAAGTAGCGCAGCCTCCTGGGCACTGGGCACTTTCTGTTCCATGAAGAGCATAGAGCATATTGGACTCTGACACCGTATTGCCTGAGTTTGATCTCTGGCTATGCCTTGTACAATTTTTTTTTTTACCTTGGATAATCATTTAAACTTTCTATGCAACAGTTTCCTTATCTGTAAGTTAGGGATAATAATGATATTCCTCTCTTAAGGTTTTGGTAGATGAATGAATCAAACCATCCAAATGGTCAGTAGGCGCTGGCTACCATCACCACCACCGCCGCCACCACCACTACTGTCATCACCATCACCGTCAGTATCATCACCATCAGCACCGTAGCCGCCGGCATGACCATCCTCAATCATCACCCACCGTCATGTGCCACCACACCACCTTAGCCACCACCTTCTCTTCCTCCTCCTCAGAGTGGCACTGAGCACGCCAAGCAAACACCGTTCTTCATGAACCTGCACTCGCTCTTCGCTCGGCCTGAGATGCTCTTCCGACAGATTCCCGCGTGCCTGGCATCTGCACTACCTTGAAGTCTCTGCTCAGTATCATCTCATCCAAGAAGGCTTCTCATAAAACTCTGTATGAAATGACACCCCTGTCACTCTCCATTCCTTTTATCTTGCCTCATTTTTCTTTACATAATAACAACTGACACCTTGTATATTAGTACCTATTTTATTCTCTGTGTCTTTAGACTTTGTCTACTTAATTGCTTGCTGTATTGATAGAATCTAGAGCCTGTATGGCCTTAAATGTTTATTTGAATAATTTATGAATCCTCTTTGTCTCCTAAACTCTTTCATATTTCAATATCCCTATGCTTCTGGCTATATTTGGTGTGATTCCTCAATCTCAGTTGCAATTTACTGATGCTCATCTCAACTTCTTTTGTCAAATCCTGATGTCATCTACGAAGAATTCTAAAAATGAAATTGACTATCTTTTGTTTCCATGTTTTTCCATTTGTTCTTTTCCATATTGTTCTATTTCTTATCATAATGACAGTTTTTGTTTCATAGACTCCTGTTCTTGTATATAGATATTATTTCCTCCTTATCTTATTATAAATTTGTTATAAATTATATTTTTTTACATGCTTAAAATTCCTTTTACATTTTTCCATTATTACCTTTTCCTTTTTTGTTTGTTGTGAACTATTGAGAATCTTTTGTAGCAAATGGATTTCCAAGAAGGCTTTATGATTTTTGTTTGTTGCTCATCTAATGTAGGAGGGTGTTTTTGTCTTTGAAAACTATCATTTTCATTGTTTTCTTGTTGTTTTAACCCCATCTCCCTGGGGTCTACAGTTTAGAACACATATTAAGGGATCATAATTTTTGCCATGGGGAATATCTTGGGTTACAGGCCCTAAGCCACTAGATAGCTTGCCTATTCTTTATGTAAATATCTTGTCTCTCAAGAGAAAATGTATTGTTTCTGGGCACAATCACTCTTTATGCTTAGGGATCTTTTTGTGCGTAGACTGGTTCCAGCACTCCGTCACTAATGAGTATGGTTGATCATTTCTAAATATGGACACCAATAACTCCTCCCTTTACCACACATGTATTCTGTTCCTCCTATCAAAAGATTGGGTTAAAAATAAAAAGTATGAACTGTATGTGCTTCATAAGAGTCACACTTTATATATGAGAAAATATAGGTCAAAATCAAAAGGAAGAAAAATATGAGTCATGCAAATACTAATCATAAAAAAGACAATGGGGATATATTAAGATCAGACAAAGTAGATTTCTGGACCTTATTATCAACAATAAAAGGGATATGAGCAGCAATAAAAATAATTGCTTAATGATAAAATGGTTAATCTACCAAGATACAGCAATGCTAAACATGTATACATCTAATAACAGAGATTAAAAAATACTGGAAATAAAAACTGTCAGAACTAAAGGAAAAGACTGACAAATCCATGTAGTTGTGGATTTTAACCCACTTCCGCTATTAATTGATAAAATAAGTGGACTAAAATGTGTAATGATATAGAAACACATTATTGGCTAACAACCTAATTGACTATACTCACCATATCCAGAGTACACATGCTTTTCAAAGGCACATGAGACATCACAACAAAACATATAGTTTGTCATAAAAATAAAAACACTCAGTGATAAAAAACTATAATCCAGACTCAAAAATCCTAGATCTTATAATTAGCATCAGTCCCAGTTTGGACCACAATAGACGGTCCCATTCAAAAGGGGAAGGAATAGCAGACATGCAGCAGTTACTAGTCCATAGCAATTCTGAATCCAACTGGGCACCTTGCCAGGGGCCTTTACTGTCGGAAGAAAATGCTTCTTTCTTACAGCCCAATTACGTCCAGCAGAACTAGTTTCTTAATCCTTTGCTCTACTCCCTGAATCTATCCCCTTAGAAATTCTTCCACTTACATAAAAAATATCCTATGTTGTTGTTTGAGTAACCTTCTTAGCTGGTTTTCTGTCCACATAAAGTTGAAAGCCCATAGCTTTAAAAAAATATTATAAATGTTCATGTCTTTTTAGTCCAAATTGATTGTGGTTTTATCAATATAATACAGTACAAATAACTGCAAATATCGTAACTTTTTCATGGATTGTCTATGGATCTTTTAGGGGCTTTACTCTATAGGCTGCAGTCTTTCCAGCCCCCACTAACAATTTGTTCATCATACATTCAACTTTAATTAATAGCTTCTTTGCTGTTTTTTTAAAATTGAGGTATAATTGACATATAAAATTTTATAAGTTTCAGATGTCCAACATAATTATCCACAATTTCTATACATTGGTAAATGACAACTACAGTAAGTCTATATACTAGCATCACCAGGTAAAGTTAAATGACAGGCAATACAATAACATCAACAACAGTCGCTATGTTGTGTACCACATACCCATGAAGTACCTATTTTATGAAAGGAAGTTTGTATTTCTTGATACCTTTCTCCTATTTCACCCACCACCAACCCCCTGCCATCTGACAATAACCAATCTGTTTTCGGCATCTATGAGTTTTATTTTGTTGTTTAGATTTCACATATAATAGAAATGATATACTATTTGTCTGTCTCTTAGTTCACTTGGCATAATAACCTCAAGGGCCATCTATGTTGCCACAAATGGCAAGGTTTCCTTATTTTTAATGGCTGAATAGTATTGCATTATATACTTATATCACATGTTTTTATTCATTCATCCACTGATGGACACCTAGTCTGAAGGAGTGGTCACAGGAAGACTGGGGATTCATTTCAGTCTGCTTCTGTGCAGTGCCCTGGGGATGGTAGCCTGCCAAGAACCGTCTCTCTGATTCTTTCAGTCCTGTAAAGCCCAGAAAAGCAAGTCTCTCTGGCCAACACAGCCAGGTACTCAAGTGGACTGCACACACACTCTGTTTGGCAAAGCCACAGGGGAATGCTGGGCTGGGGCGCATCCATTTGGCAGGCTAGTGGGGCAGGCTGTGAAGGAGCGCCAGGTTGAGGTGATCCCTCCTGGCTGCCTTGAAGCCTTGGATCAATCCCAAGCTAGTGCCACATGCTTTCTGTTTCTGTTAGGGCAGCGCCCCACTTCTAAGTACCAATGACAGTTCCATTATTTAATGATACATAACAAACAATCCTAAACCTTGGCAGCTTAAAATAACTACCCATTATTTCTCAAGAATTAATGGGTTGGCAAAGCCATTTCTTGCTGACCTTGCTTGGTATCATTTGTAAGGCTGTAATTGCAGGGTGAGTTGTCTAGGGAAAAGGCAGTGAGGCCTCTCACTCAATGTAGTCTCTCCTTTTGGGTTCTATATGACACGGTAGTCTCATGATTCAAAGAAGGCAAGCCCCAGTATGCAGGAGCCTATCAAGCTTTTATTTTGCATCATGTTTGCTGATGTCACATTGGACAGCACAGGTTCAGAGTCTGTGTGGGAGGGTTTTACACAAGGGCATAGATAGCAGGAGGCAAGGTGCATCGGTGGCATTTCCATAACAATCAACTTCAAAGGGAAGAAGTACAATTATTTGTATTTACAGATAACATGATTATGTTCATAGATAATCCATATAAATTTGCAAACTGCTAGAACTAATAAGTAAATTTATCCAAGTCACAGGATACTAGGGCAATGGATATATTTTTAGTATTTCTATGTACCACTAGGAAAAAATTGAAAACTAAAATAAGTAAAAACACTTACAATCGCATTAACAAGCCACAGCAATGGTGAATTTAATGAAAAATACAAAAGATGTCTCTACAGAAAACTACAAAACATTAGTAAATCTACAATAATAATTAAGATCCATGGTGCCACCAAAGACAGAAAAATTTATCGGTATATCAGAATAGCAGGTCCAGAATTAAACTTTCTCTCACACACAGAAGCACAATGCTCATTTGATTTTCCACAAAGACATAAAAGCAATTCAATAAGGAAACAAAAATCTTTCGATAAATGGCACTGAAATAATTATATGTAATGTGGAATATATTAACATTGACTTTTAGCTTTGTGCTATGTCATAGACATAAATGTATTAGCTAAGATCATAAAGCTTTTTAGAATAAAGCATAAGAGAGTGTCTTCAGAAATTTGGAGACAGCAAGTATTTCTTAAATAGGAGCCAAAGTCATTACCATAATGGAAAATAAGGGTAAGTCAGACTTCATTAAAAAAAAAACAACCTTCTGTTCATCAGAAGATATTAGGGAGAGGATTAAGGTGAGTCAAAATTAGGAAGAAAATGTTAAAAATAAATATATCTAACAAAGGAATTATACCTAGAATATATAATAAATTCAGAAAAAAAACCAACCCTATTAAAATTGACAAATTCTTAAAGTAAAACTTCAAAAAGGAAAATATCCAAATGGCCAGTAAGCCTATAGAAAGGCCCTTATCATCATTTCATTAGGGATATGCAAATAAACACTGCCTTTGAAGCTGGATTTACGCTTCAAATTTCAAATCCCAACTCCATCCCATATTAGCTGCGTGACCTTACACCAAATGCTTAAACTCTCTGTGACTCAGTCCTGTCATTTAAAATAGAATAATAACAATTTTACCTCAGAGGATTTTCAAAGATTCAGAGAATATAAATAAATTTATGGTGCACAGTAAGCAATTCATGTTAGCTCTTACAAATAACTAGTATTTGAAAACATAAATTTAAGGTTACATAAGATTCTTTCATACAATAATTGTTTAGTCAATACTTGATTGTGGGGAAATTGGATTATAAACATACTTTCATTGTTGCATAAAATACTATAATAAAAAATCTTTTTCTGATTATTCTGTTTGCCCCTAACTCTCAGAGTCCCTCTCTGCTCTACCCTGTCCCAAAAGGCTAACTTCTGAGAACAGAATCATTCAATCTCCTCTGTTCTCTTGCTTCCAGCTGGGTGTGGCCAGTAGCAAGAAGACAAGAGATAGATGGGTACAAGCAGAGAGAGATTGGAGTATTTATCTTCCTGCTTTCTCCTGGCATGGCCATAGTTCTGTTAATCGTTGCTTTTTTCCCTAAAGCCAGACTTCCTACCAAGGGTTTTCTCTTGGTATATCTGTTCTCACTGGTCTCAGGAAACACTGTTCCTCTGCTTGCCTGTGAGGTCTAGGGGTGCTGATGGCTTCTTGCTGTTGCTAGAATGCAAGTGCCCCGCCACCCCTTATTGGTTCCCTTACTCATACTTCTGCACAGAATCCTTTTATTACGTTATTTCAGATAAAACCTACTGAATGATCTATCTGTTTCCAGCTGGTACCTGAGATGTAATCTTATGTTTGTTGCTTTCTTTTATGTCATGCTGATGGGTTAATTTCTTTTCCAGAAGAGAAATTACTGAGTCAAATTTCTCTCGAAATGTTTCTCTTGAAACACTTTAAAGGTCTCTGGTACACATAGCTAAATAGTATGTAGGTGATTTGTACCATCTTTAAAGACCAGTTTTAACATGAACAGGGAGAAATCCCAGTTGCGTGGGGATTTGCATGAACTTGAACCAAACATTACATGACAGGTTGCACCTTCCTCTAGTTGTTTTGGCAAAGGTAATCCTTGGTAAGAACTTTGCCTAATGTACCCTTCATCTCACTGTTCCTCAGGGTGTAGATAAGGGGGTTGAGCACTGGGGTTCCTAAGGTGTACACCAGTGAGATGAACTGATCTTGCTTGGGGTAGTAGCTGGAGCTGGGGCGCAGGTACATGAAGGCACAGCAGCCATACTGCAGCAGGACCACAGTGAGGTGGGAGGAGCAGGTGGAGAAGGCCCGGTGGCGGCCAGCTGCAGAGTGGATTTTGAGCACAGCAGCCACAATGAAGGCGTAGGAGGTGGCGATAAGGAGGAAAGGCACGGCGATGGCCAGTGTGGCCGCCACCAGCACCGACTGCTCATGGACGTGGCTGTTGGCACAGACAAGACGCATCACGGGCGGCGCATCGCAGAAGAAGTGTTCGATACCCCGAGCCCGGCAGAAGGGCAGAGAGAAGATGAAGGCCACCAGTTGTGAGGACAGACCCAAACCAGTGACCACTGAGGTCACAATCAAGCGGGCACACAGAGTTAGAGTCACGATGAGAGGGTACCGCAAGGGACGGCAAATCGCAACGTACCGGTCATAGGCCATGGCTGCCAGGAGGAAGCAATCGGCACTGCCCAGTCCGATGAAGAAAGCCATCTGAGTGGCACAGCCCAGGAGGGTGATGGTCTTCTCCGACTGTAGGATGTTGGCCAGGATGTGCGGCACCACCACAGCCGTGTAGCACACTTCTACTGCTGAGAGGCTGCCCAGGAAATAGTACATGGGTGTGTGTAGGCGGGCTTCTTTCTGGACGGCCACCACAATGAGCACATTCCCACTGACGATCAGTGTGTACACCAGGCTGACTCCAAGGAAGGACAAGACACGCAGCTCTGGGTGGGAGGGATAGGCCAGGAACACAAACTCCATCAGCACTGAGCGATTCCCCCAGGTCATCGAGCTAATGGCTTTGTCTGTGCAGAGTTGCAGAGACAGAAGGAAGGATCGTATTGACAATATATTAACTCACACTGTGAGCCGTGGTCTAATCTAATCAGGGCTGGGGTTAGAAACTAGAAGTATTGGGATTTGTTCTCTTTTTTCTTCTCTTATTACCAAGCCTCTTCACATAAGTATCTACAACTTAATTTCTAACTGTCAAGAGCTGGCCTAAATTACACGGGAATTTTTAGAGGTAAAGAGGTAGAGGAACTTTGTGGAATTCAATGCTTTTTTCTGTAGAATTGGAATGACATTTAAATTTTTCAATGAATTTTCAAGAAATTGCCAGGGAATTACTGAAAGCAAAGGTGATTGATGTGAGGGCAGGAAGCTATTAATTCATTCTTTCACTCATATATTTATTTACACACAATGCCTCCAGAGATATGGACTTAGGGATATATATAAATAAGACACTGAAAAGCTAGTGATGTGAGGGAATGAAGAAAGAAAACCCTGTCCATGGGCAAAGAGCTGACATGGGTCTGAGAGTCATAGGGTCAAGGAAAAGCCTCAGAAAACAAAGCCCTCCCACCCCTGGTTTCTCCATCCACATCCAATCAGAAGAAGTGTAGGAATTGTGGGAAACAAGTTGTTTTATCATGTGACTCCTGGCTTCAGGTGGTATGGGGAAATATGCATTGGAAATCTGGGAATCCATCCTGTGAGTTTGGAGGTGAAAAGGAAACACCAAGCCAGTCTCTTTTTCCATATTTTTCTTCTCTTCTAAGGAGTTAATGTGAAATCCAAGAAAAAAACTGCTAGCTTCCTTGAAAACCTTCTAATGAAAAGACATAACTCTTAATGTTATCCATTCCATTCCTTTTCTAAGACCAACTGATACTTAAGAAGGTTGCCATCTTAATGTGACCTTGTTTCAATTTGCCTAACTTTAATATTTATTATTATTCAGCATGGGCACTGAAGAGAAACCTCAATCTAGAAACACTGCTTCCAGTAAAAATCACTCACATAAGCCTGCTTTAGTGTCACAAGCATAGGAAGGATGAAATTAGAAACTAGTACAAATATTAAGACCACTTAGGGCATGAATGGCTCTTTGTTGTTTTTCCAGCAATTAACAAGTGGTATCCAGTTCATTTCTTTTCCTCTTTTGAACCTCAATAATGCTTTGAATTATTTCTAATGTAACTTAGCATATTCAACATGTTGTTATAACCTTTGGAGGAGGGGCAGTGTATCAGCGTAAAATCAGTTTTGACATTAAATGACATGTTTTGAATAATCTCAAGTCCTGGCTTTGTGATCCTAAGCAAAATATAATTTCTCTGAGTCCTAGTTTCTTTTTTTAAGAAATGGGAACAGCAATTTTACTTAGTTCTGAGGGGTTTTGTGAGGATTAAATGAGATCGTATTGTAAAGTATTTACCACACTATGTAGTCTGTAGTAATGGCAGCCTAATAACAGATTACCATAATTATTACTTGTAAGTTCAAGAACAGCCATTCTCACTTATTTATATTTTTATCTCCCTGTATTACAAAGCCTAATGTGATACAAATTACAGATATTCAATAAATACATATTGTGTGGATAAACATGCTGTGACAAACATAAGTCATTGACACTTTTTCTCCATTTTCTCTCTTCACTTTTAAGTTTATTTTATAATCAAATCACTTGTGTAATAGCCCTTATGGAAAATAATTTGGTATCCAACATTTTGGCTACAATGTAGACAAAAAGTCCTGTCATTCAGGAACATAGTGTATAGAAAGCTATCACAAACTGTGTTATGATGGAAGGCTTTGGAATCTGTGTGGTAATGACTTCTGAGAATTTCATTATAGTTAGTCATACTCATGTCATTTTAACGGGTGCTCTGCAAGATCTATAATAAAATGTTTATAATAGAGTTATCTATAGGTCATGAATTCTTAGTGCTTGAAAGGACCTCAGAAATCGCCTATACAGTGTTCTATTAGATACTTGAATCTCCCATAACACATTTAAACATCAGATCATTTTAAAGCCTTGTGAACCTCGTTACCTCCTGACATGCTTCCTCCATTCTTAGATGACACATTCCCTAGAAGTACTTTCTAGTAAAGGCTGAAATCTGCCTCTATGCAACTTCTACATAATCATTATGTCCTACATTGTAGGGCATTTCTACATAAAACACTTCAGGATCTAAAGAACTTTTATCACACAGCTTTATACATTCTTCCCTATTTATTTTGGTTATTCCTCAGATGACATGGTTTTGATATCACTACTTTGGCTCTGGAAATGCTCCCATTTTAAATAACTTACTTAAAATGTACAGCATGGGACAGATCACAAGAATGGTCAACTTGAAAAAGATCTGGGTATCACCTATTTGTTCACTGGCCATCTGTTTCTTGAATAGAATCAAAATTAGATTAACTCACATGTTTCTTTTGATGGCTCTGATGGTCTCCCCAGACTTAGACCGATCTATAGCTCCTTGGGTGCTTAAACTCTCAACATTTCTTTTTCATTTTCAGAGAAGCGGAACATCCTCCATCATTCTTTCAACATTGGTCCATTGCTCTACTCTGTTGAGACTGACATTTCTCAGAACCTTCCATATGTGACTCTACATCTTAACTAACCTTCCTGCAGTCATTCATTTTTACTAATTAAGTGCAATCCTTATCTATAATGGTGATCAAAATGGCACAGTTGTGCCCAAGTGGTTAAATGTCCTAATGAGAGAGGCAGATTATATACTATATATATTTTTATGTATATATGTCACATATATCCATATAAGTAAAACTGTGATTAAGTGCTGTTAAGAAAAATAGTGTGTTGTAAGATTGTACAACATGGGGCTCTGGCATAATTTGTGATTAGGAGATTCTGAAGAGGCTCCCTACAAAGAGTAATAGTTAAGCTTAGATCTGAAGAGCAGAAGCTAACTAGGAGAAGAGAAGTAGGCAGTGTAGTGGGGTCCATATTCTGGACAGATGAAATAGTGCATTTTATGATTCAAAGATAGCGAAACTTATAATATCAATATATTGTCCACTTGCTATTCTGGGTTGCTACTAAAGATCGGCAAAAAACAGTACTTCAGCTTCATCTTAAGAAATCTGCCCAGGCTGGCATCTGTTCATGAATCCACACCCATCACAGTGCTGCCACGTCACATTGACATCATACCCTTATCTTCCTTCTTACCTCTCCAGCCAAACCTGCCCTAGTTGGCAAGAGTTTCATGAGAGACACTACCCATGTGCTCTCTGGAAAGAGGGTCTAGACTGGAGCAGTTCTTCAATTGTCTAGTTAGCATTGGGTAAGAAAAGGGGGTTAGTGGATTTGGCAATGACAGATGTAAGGTAGAATCTCAATCTATTATTAATAACAATGTCACCTGGGCAGATAATCTCACCTTCTTTTTCCTCATGCTTAAAATATGTAAATAAAAATGCTTACCTAATGGAGTTGTGATGACATAAATGGGATAAGGTATTTAGAACACATGGTTTGATGCATGAAACCTATTAAGTTGCAGAATAAATGTTGATTCTTCTTTCTTTGAGGCTACTAAGGAGATGATATTAAGAATATCTGCTGCATAGCAGAGGATTAAATGAGGTACCTTAGGAAGAAAGGATTTTTATTAATCCTTAAGCCTTATCCAAATTTATATTAGTCATTCTCTCAATGTTTCTTAGGCTGAGGTTGCTTATTACCTCTTTATTCAGAAGAATAGGCCTCCTAAGAGAATTCAGAGATACACTGCAAATTGTGGCTGAGCTAGTTCAGAAATCCTAGAGAGTCTACTTGTAAAGCTATTACTTGATGTTCTAGGTCTGCAAGTGCCTGGTATATTGCAAATCTATAAGGAGGTCAATAAAGGCTTTCTTTTACCTTAAGCATGAGAAAGAAGAGGGGTGGGATGAGCCAACCTCCTCAGTTATAAGATGGGACCTAGCAGGTGCTGCCTGACTGCTCTGGTAGAGAGAAGGGAGGACATGAGCCTGGAGAGACCCCAGTGGGGCAGAGACTTTAGTAACCTTCCCAAATGAAAACCACAGAAGGAGTAAATTGCTTTGCTCTCTGGGGTCTTGTCTCATAGGTTCCATGTCCCAGAGGTAGGCTGGTGATTGCTGATCTCCTCCCCGGCTACCAAACTAAAACTGTCCCTACACTTGGGATCCCATCAATGGATGGTCTGAAGTATGTCTGTCAGAGTAAAGACCAATATTAAGCCTTTTATCAACATTATCAGTACCCAAAATAATTTTCTGAGAAATAGGAAGTTCCCTAATCAAAGTCACTTGAGCCCCCAGTTTCAAGGAGTTTGTTTACTCCCACCCAGTTGTCATTGCTGGGTTGAGCCAAAGTCCCAAATTACTATTACCCTGGAGAACTGAGACCATAATTTATGTAGTATTTGACTTCCATGGGACCTAGCAGAGTGCTTAGTAAGTCTACTTCAACGTGCTCTTCCTCAATGAGTATTTATCAGATGTTCCACCTTTTCCACAACATCATTCTTTGTTTAATTCTCCTTGAGCAGAGACATCCATAGGTCTTAGAGAATTGGCTTATTCCTTGAAAAAATGTTGGTCAGTTATGTGTATATAAAGGTTTATATATCTGTGTGTGAATGCGTGCTCTCATGTGCCATTTATTCAAAGGCAAGTCCACTGCATGGGTCTAGAGTGAGAATGAGTAATGTAGTCCATTGATATGTGTGCATGTGTGTGTGTGTGTGTGTGTGTGTCAGAGAGGGGCAGGACAGTCAGATCTCAACAGCCTGGCAGTGTTGAACTACTCAACATATTCAGAGACTTCTGAGGTGTGTCCAGTGTCAATAAATGGAGCAGAAAGAGAATGGAAGGGGTAGGAAGCAGAATGTATTGTCTACTGTGTGCCAACTATTATAAAAATTATAATAGTTAAGTCTTATGTTGCTCTTACTGTCCTCCACACACTTTGCATATATTAACTCATTCATTCTTACA